AAAAAAAAACTTTTCATTACCCATTTCTGTGAAATATGTAAGGAAAAGATTACAAAATTTCACAGAAACTTGTAAATGAGGTTACAGTATTTAAAACCAATAAATAAAACAAGTTTTAATATCAAAAGGAAACTTAAATGATACTGATCTGTCTACTTGTTTTGCTTATTTATATTTTGATGAATTTATTGTTTATCACATGCATTGATAGTTTCAAGGACAATGATAAGAATAAAATATCATATTTTGTTGTAAGAAGAAATTTAATAGCAATTGGTAATTTAAAATTTATTGAGTAAAGTGCTTTTAAAATTTGGGGACCAAAAAAAATGTGTGATATATCTGAATTCGTGATATAATGAGGGGCCACTGTATTTTATATGATAAAATTGTTCTCTTAATTATTTGTAGTTAGGCCTTATTGTTTTTAATAAACCATGCCTTGGCTGATTTGAATGAATATTAATTAAATGGAAGGATTAAACAATTTATATGAACAGTGGTCTGAAATAAATATGAATCATAATTTTCAAGAGTGATAACATTTAATCATGATTATATCTTACTACTACAAAATTCAACATTTGAATGTGTATTATGATGTATATAGTGATAAAAATATTTAAGTATGAAGTTAAGTTTAGATTTTCTTTTCTTTCTTCAGGAGTTATATTTAAAAATCTTGGGGGAAATGAGAAATACTCAAGCTCATTTTAGGATCATATGAACAAAACATCAAGTGTTCAGATATAATGCACTGTCTTTTACATTATTAACTTCTTAAATGCTATTGGTCTATTAGCTGAACATCTAGAACTGTTAAAGACAGCTTGTATTTAGTTTATCCGTTCTTAAAAATAATTAGCTGAATTGAAGAATTGTAGCTGTGTAAAAATAATTTTAATAAATACAATAAAATTTCCTTAAAATAAACATCAATGAAATAAATTCTTGTGTGTAAATTTTGCCATTACCCTGAAAAATGTTAATTTTCATGTAGTAAAGTTTCATATAGTAAAGAGAGAAATTTTACTAGAATCTGTTAAATTAAACTGTAAATTACTTTCTCAACTCCCAGAAATAACCCTATTTTCAATAATGGTTGCTTTTTATACTTTTTGATGTGAATTGTAATAAATGTTTCATTTTGAATAGAATAGATTTTCTTCTTTTAGTAAGCAAAAACTGTTTTAATTCTGATTGTGGAGTGATTCAAACATGGTTTTAGTGAACCATTCTATTGTACTTAGAAAGTAGGGGTTAAAGTTTAAAGATGCCCACCCCTTTAAATGGATGCAGTTCCATGCAAACACATGCTGGTTTATGTATTGGGGATTCATACAGTGATGTCAGGTTTGGCTCCATTTTTACTCTTTTGGCACCAAAAATATTTTCTACTTTTCATAAAAATCTTTAACAGAAAAAATTGCAGATTTCTTTTAGCTTTTTTTGTTTAACACATATACTGCTCCATACTTAAATGGCAAATACCATCTCCTCCTCATTTTGTTTAACTTGCAAATCATTTAGAACATAAAATTAAATTTATTTACAAAAACAGATTAATATAGCTTTATTTAGTATATTAATTCAAAATACTATAATTTAAGAGATTTCAATCACCTATTAAGCTTTACCTCTCTAAATCATACAACCTTTATCCTGAAAATCATTAATATGAATTTTCAATAAAGCAAACTAACTGTTTTCCTAGTAATTTGTATTAATGTGAGTTGACTGCAATTATTTTCAACAATTTTTGTGTATTAAATATTTACTTGTTTCTAAATAAAGGAACTTTAGGTTCCTTTATTTAGAAACAAGTAAAACAGTGAAGCCATTCTTGGGACGAGACTATGTCTCGGAGAGTGCGAGCAACTCATGCGCAAATCTTGCACTCGTGCCTGTTTGTAGAAACAGTCACGAGTGCAAGATTTGTATTTTATTTTGGCCTGGTTCTCAGTCTCCTGACTACCTACAAGTCTGTTTTTTTTTGTGTGTTCATGATTTGGGCACCAAATACTCTGTGCCAAATTGCAACTCCTGACATGTACTGTACTCCTTCATACCTCTAAGGTGTGCAGCCATTGACAGCAGTGCAATTTTAGTGATGAGACATGGTCTTGTCAACAATAGTCAAATTATAGTGTGAAGGTTAAAATGTGAAAAAGTTATGATAAATTCTTTTTGTGAAAGTATAATTTTGTTGCCATCAATAATTTAATTTAAAAATTTAATCTCAGGAGAATTTTTTGATTACATATTCCAATTGAAAATCATTTTATAATAATATAAATTGAAATTAAAATTTTTTGGTTGTTTTAGATGTAGTTTATTATAAAGAAGTTCTAAACTATATATAAAGACCTTGCCAGAATGCAAAGAAGTTACTAATGAACAAAATGGAACAATTGCTTGTTAAGTGGTTGCAGCAAGTTTTCATTGCATTATACAGTACATGAAATTAAAGTTATGTGAAATTTTTCTATTGTTTTGCTGTTTAGATGCAATTATGCATCTGAACAGCAAAAATCTATTTATTGTTTTTTTTGCATCTAATGTTTTCTCCAGGTTATTGGAAAACATTAGATTGGAGTTTTACTGTAATCTGTCATGCTTTATGATGATAATTTTATGCTTGGAGGTGATTTCACTTTTGTCTACAAGTGGAACTTATCCTAAGGTGGATAAAGTGTGAAAATTGTTCTTCATACCCAAAAATCTCTTATTTTTCTTCAACAGGTTTTCAGTTTATGGTAAAATTACAGTTTCAAATAATTTTTTCCATCTAGGCAGGTTTTCATTTTACAGCTTTTACTATATTTTCAGAGGTTGTAGTTCAGTCAAATTATATATTGGTCATATTAGTTATGCTTCCTGTAGCCAGACTTGAATATCAGATGTCTAATGACATGGATTGCTGATGCTGTTATTAGACAAAAAAACTAGTACAAGTAAACTGGAACTATATATTAAACACAACAACTAACACCTAAATGCTAATTCCAGCACTGAATGAACAAAAAATTTTAATGCTCGAACGTTTTCGGCCATCTTTTAGAGGCTCTCCTCAGGATGAAACACACAAAAGAACAGTTCTATCATTTGAAACCCTGTTATTCATCTTTTCTTCCATAATGTGTATTTATGGTCTTTCAGTCTTGCCTGCTGGAATGTGATGTTGCACAGATGTATTCTAAATTTAATCCCAACCTGTTATCTTTAATGGGATCTCTATATCCTGGAATGCATAATTTGTCCAACCTATTTCCTATTCCATTCAATTTTGGTAATATATAGCCATTGTACATTTTTAAGTGTTATAGTTGAATTTACTTGAAGATTGTTGAGTTAGGTCAAAAACATTCGTAATTATGTAGATTTTGTTGGAAATTTGTTGATTTATTCAATATCAGTAGTATACTGGAATTTTATTGCTATAGTTTAACTTAAAGCAAACAATTTTATGTAAGAAGTCAATGATTTAAAGCAAATTTATCAGCTGTTTTCTAAAATAATTATGAATGTTAGCAGCTTTCTCAGAAAATTTCCTGTTCATGACCTGTATGAGAGGAATTTATTATAAATTAAAACACTAATTCATAATTCTAGTAATAATAGCTAAAATAATTAATTTTAGCTAAATGCTTGAACATACTTGATTATATAATATATATATAAAGATGAAAACATGACCAAATATTGTAAATTATTAAGTATTTGTTTTAAAAATAGATCTAAACAGTAAAATATCAATAGAAAATGACTATTTCCAAAACAATGCAATTTTGATACTATGAATAAATTCTTATAAAATTTTGGAATGAAAACTTTGGAAATTAACATTTTACAAAAAAAAAAATTTTTAAATAACATTTTTAAGTATTTTGAAATCTTGAAATTTTAAATTGAATAATTTGTTTATGAATTCTTATTTTTATGCTGGGTATGCTGTATTGGTATTAAAGTTTCAAATATATCTCTAATACTTATTAGAATATAATGTTCTAATATTAATTGGTAACAATCTTTGCTAATATTGGTTTTCTGATAAAACATTTTAATTAGATGTTTCTTCTGTACTTTTTTGCTGATGTAAACTTTAACATAAGCTTATGAAAAAATGATAACTGAAGACAATTTCTATATATGAAAAAATTCTGCACTCTATTACATAAGTATCTTATAGTTTTTACTATGTTGAAGTATTAAACAGTATTCAGTATTATTGATGATATTTTCTAAAATTTTATTAAAAACTGTTTCGTGACCTTTCTGGATGGAGTACTATGCATTTTATAAACGAATTTATACAACTTTTGTGTAGGTCAAATGACAAGACAGATGATCTGTTGAAATTGCTAAATTGATCTCTAGGATAAAAACTTGCATAAAATTTAAATGAAATTTATTCTTTTGTTATATATAATTAGTTTTTATATAAGTAATTATAAGTGCTCTATTCATTAAATCTAACATTGTAAATATAATAATTATAATAGCTATGTAAAAATGCTTGTAAAAACAAGTTAAGAGCATTTGAATTTAAAGATTTTACAATAATAATTTCAACAGATCAGATTTTTAGCATACATACTTTGTAGAATGATATCCATATTTTAGAATTTATTTCAAAAGTTCATCTGAACATGTTGAAATGGATAATGTGGAAGTGAATGTTTTTATAGCTTTGTTTCTAATAAAAATATTTATTGGAAAATAATATCATTTGTAATACTGAGTATTTTGTATTAACATAATCAATTGATAAAAACAGAAAGAATTAAATATACATTATTATATACTGAATGAAATATTTTGAATGTAAACAAAGTTAAATTAGAAAATTAAGTATTTTCAGATTAAATAATGAAAATATCATCAATGTGATCAATTTAATTTTATTATAAATGTTAAAATAACTTTTAGCTAATTGAAAATTAAGTTTCGAGATGATCTCAGACTTATGTGATAGAGGAATATTAAATCATTACCTTTAGCAGGTGAAAATAAAGAAATAATAGGAAGAAAAGGGTCTTCTCATCGACCTCTCATCCAATTCAAACAACGTTCCTTGACATCCACAGGTGTGGATCTTGGATCCCTTGAAGAGGTTGAACCACTACGGAGTAAGCGGTCAAGTACGTGCACCCCTGTTGCCCTTGAAATATCCCAACTTTTGCACTCTTGTTTTGCATGGCTTACATTTTTCTTTATTTCTTCACTTAATAATTAATTTAATATGTTCATTTGCCCAGTCTTATTGTTATATTGGATATATTAATATCCATCTTTGTTTTTATTTTGAGTAAAATGTTTGTCAATTAATTTTTAAAATTTAGTTTTTAGGATAATGTTTTAGTAAATTTGGTATATCTTAAATACTTCACTTAAAGTAAGAATACTTTTATATACAAAATATAGATTGCATAATTAGTGAATCATCTATTTAAGTACATATTTCAGGTTTCTACCATGATTTACATTTTTATCTAAATGGATAGCATGTGTAAGCTAAACATGTTTTAAGAGTGTGAATTTTGGATTTTATTTATGATCAATATACACATGATTTTGAAATCATATCAAACAGTAATAAAAGTTTCATAAAATACTGTATTTTAACATATTTATATTACAACACACATTCTTTTTAAAATCAGAATATAGTTTTTATGGAAAACAAAAGTACTTATTTTTATCAACTTAACTTTTAACATTAAAAACTGTTTCTCTATTGTTGTTGAATTGTATATCACTAATTCAGTTGTTTCTACAATTTTTAATATTGCTAACTAAAAGTGAGAAATATTCTTTTCCATGTGCACCAGTTGGTTGGCTACTTCAAGAACTACAAATATTTCTTTTGCAGTTGCAATAGGCATTGATGTTTCAGATTACTGACATAGTAATTGAGGAAAGTGTAAAGCAAAACTTAATCATTTGTTAATTTCCCTGATTTTATAACAACTGAAATCCTTTTTCCTTACTCTTATGTACTTCTCAAAAGTGAAATCACAACAACAAGAAGGAATGCAAGTATCCACTTGCACATTGCAGGACTGTTAGAGGTGATACCTGTTTATTCAGTAACAAATATAGCTTCCATGAGTAGCTATACAGGCTGCAATATAGTAAGGCATATTATCAATGAATTGATTAATAGTTGTCTGAGGTATTCCTTGCCAAGCTGTGTTTACTGTGGTGCACATGTTATCAACGGTATATGACAGTGATCTCTGGTGCACCTCACTTTGGACAAGGTCTCACATGTATCCAATGGAGGGAGAGATCTGGCAAGGCTGCTGGCCAGGGAAGGATGTGAACCATGTTTGGGCTAGTGAGATTTCAGCATGCAATGTGCTGTTTGAAATTTTTTGTTGGAATGCTGCCAGTGACTGAACCACAGGCTCCACAATTCAAGTGATGTACTGGTCCACTATCAGAGTACTAGAAATGTGCACCTGGGCTGTCTGCTGATCGAACATGATACTTCCCAAAGCATGATGCCCTGAGTGGAGCCAGTGTGACACTCAGCAAAAAGGGTTGGCATATAGCATTCTCCAGGATATTGCCTAGCCATTATTTCTACACAGAAGTGGGATTCATCTGTAAACAATACCTGATGCCATTCACTGGCCCAATTGTAATGATGATGACACCATACCAGATCTGCAGCTCTTATTTGAGTGGTTAATGGCACCCCCATTGCTGGTTTCAGCATGTGAAGCCTGACTTCGTGCATCCTGTTACAAAAGGTTTGTGTGGACACAGATGCACCGGTTGACGATGGCAGATGGTTTTTGGATGTCCTGTGCCATGGTAAATGGGTCCTGACAGGCCATTTGGTGAATTTGACAGTCTGTGTGTTCTGTCATGCACCAGCATGATCCAGTTCCTCTTTGGCATGTTTGCAGTTGTTCTTGCATCCATCACGTTGCATATTGCTGAGTGATACTCACGTCATGCCCAATATATGGCAACTGCATGCATCGATAAACTGAGGTCTTAGTAACAGCTTCAGGATACACTCTCATTCTCCAGCTGTTAACTGGTGATATTCAGCATGCTGTTATCTCTGAGACATTTTCTATATTTCATTGAAAGTTCAGCTGCTGTGAATCATTGCTGATAGCATGTATGGCCCAAGCCAGCTGCTGGTCTTTATAATCTGAAACTGGATACCATATGACCCCATGCATACTTAAACTTTATTAATTGCATATTTCTGTTACCTCTACTGGTCCTGCAATTTGCCTATGGCTATGCACATTTCTTTGTGATGTTGCGATTTCACTTTTGAGAAGTATAAAAGTTAATTAGAATGAAACACCATAGTCTACAATGCCAAGTTATAGTGGAAGGAAAACTGCAGGAAGTCTTTATACAATTGTATGTGCAGAGGAACCTTAAGGAATTTTTTTGGTATGAGAAATAATTGAATTGATGGCAAGGAATGAAGTTTTAACTTGTTCAGTAACAAGATACAGTGCATTAGCAAGACTAAGATATATCAAATTGGATAAAAAATATTTAAAGAATGTCTAATCTTTAACATATGAGGCTTCATCTGTTGAGAGTAGTATAAATTCGTACTCTTGCCCCACATTTGTCAACTTTTATTACTCCTATAATGAATTTACTTCTGCTATTGACTTCACAATCTTGGTTCAATCACAATATTTTTTAATTAAAGTCAGCTGAATGATGAAATTTTGAATTTATTCCTTGATGTATTTTTGGCAATTAAAGCCTGTGCCAAATTTAGTTGGAATGAATTTTGCAAGATTTTATAGTAGTAACTTAAAAGGCAATCTAAGTAATGCCCATTCCTTTCTTGCCATGTGAACATACAAATGTTTTCCAGAAGTTACATACTGTTACAAATAACACTTGTATAGAGTATCTGGTTAAAAGTTCATAATTAAGATTTTCATTAGCTTTACAAAGTTGTTACTTATTTACTGAATATGCATCAAAATTCTGAACTTTGTTAAAATACTTTTTTAAAATGTAGTTAAATGTCAAGACTTGTATATCTTTTTAAAATGTCAGTACTGTATTATATGTAAATAGGAAGTTATTCGTAATTTTTTACAAAGCTTGTTTGAAAAAGATATTTTTTCATCAGTTGAGAAACATTGATTTGTGCAGTTGCACAATCATGTTTTTTCAATATCATTTTTTTTAATAATGTTCTCAATGACTTCTTTTCTATTCCCATAGTCTCAATACTTTATACAGAAGTCAAAATGAACAAACAAAATGGTATAAACAAACAAAATATGTGGTATATAATGTAGAACAATTTAATGTTGAAAACTGTATTTACATTTTTATAGTCAACATTGGTGAATGGAACTTTTTTCTAACCAATTAGAGCATAAAATTTATATTATTTATATTTACAGAAGTAGTCTTGAATGATTTGAGATGACTGCCTCTATAATAACAAAATAAACAAACACTTCCATTAAAAACCATACAAAAAAAGGCATAGAAATAAGGCATGAAAATAATAAGTAAAATTGAATTTGAAAATAGAAGTGTTTAAATTGAGAATAAGTATTAAATTTGAGTAATAAATTAAACAACAAATATTTTTAAAATGAGAGAATAAGAGAATGATTTCTATCTGTCTGATACAGAGAATAAATGAGAGAATAAGAGAATATTTAAAATGAGAGAATAAGAGAATGATTTCTATCTGTCTGATACAGAGAACAAAGTAGTGTAAAAAACCTTTTTACAGTTAGATAATCAAAGATTAGGAAGGACTATTGCAAGTAACAAAAATAGTAACTATTAAACTGAATTTATCAGTGTAAAGTACATCATAATAATAATAATTATTGAAAAATATGATCAAAATATTTAATACATTTAGAGTGGGAAAAATGTAGTCTGCATCTAGAAAGCTCACCATTATCCATCACTCTTAGATTAGAAAGTCTGAGTAAGTAATCTGAAGGATATTATTAACCTTGAAGATAGGGAGTAATAATAATCAGTAATGAATAGAAAATAGTCAATAACTGACTGAAAATTTGAAAAGAATAAAGCTCTGAATACAGAGCAATCAGTTACAACATTACAATACTCCTTTCCTTATTGACAAACTTTTTAACTATTTTTTCAATATTTGAAAAGTTAAGATATTAAGCATTATATTTGAGTCATTTATCTGATTAACATGATTGTTTGCCATTATATGAAATGGAAAAAATATTGGGTTATGAAGAGAATAACACTACTATTGGGTTGTTTGGAAAGTAATTTCATTTTTTTACCACCAGAGGAATTATTTGTATTTTTACCTGCCAGTTTAATTTAAAACCATATTATTATATATTGATATATTGATGACTGACATTTTAAGGCTTATTTGTAAAAAATTTTGTTTCATTTTGTGAAATTTTTTTTGGTGTCCTATCAAATATGGCAAAAATGCTGCTTTCGATTTTCCATATTACTTTTATATTACCAAAAAAATAGAAATACTGTTCAAGCAAGAAAAAAATTGTGAGACATATATGGAGATGATGTGTTGACAGAATGACAGTGCCAAAACTGGTTTACAAAATTTCATTCTGGCAATTTAGATATTGAAGATGCACCACATTCTGGAAAGCCAGTTGAAACTGATGAAGACCAAATAAAGGTATTGATTAAAACAAACTGCTGAATGAGAAATTGCTAGAGATTAAATTTGTCAAATTGAACTGTTCATGATCACTTGAAACGACTTGGTTTCATTTCAAAGCTCTGATATATGGGTTCCACGTGTTCTTATAGAAAGAGAAGCTCTGTTTTGGTTGGATTTTAAGGGAATTTTTTTTTTTTGAGCTTCTACCAGACAATTCCATAAATGTTTTGAAAGTGTACTGCCATCAAATGGACAATTGAGTGATACCATCAAACAGAAAAGGCCAGAATTGATCAACAAAAATAGTATAGTGTTTCACAATGATGATGCCAAATCTCATACAAGTTTGGTAATGCTTCTGAAACTCTTACAGCTTAGACAGGATGTGATACAACACCCACCATATTAGCCAGATCTGGCACCCTCGGATTATTACTTGTTCAGGTCTTTACAAAATTTTTTAAACGTTAATACATTTACTTCAAATGAGGATGTCAAAAATCACTTGGATCAGTTTATTGTAAGCAAAGATCAAAACTTTTATGAATGTAGAATCATGTTACTACCAGAAAGATGGCAACAGGTATTTGATCAAAATGGTCAAT